TCTGAAGTATTTATGTAGCCTACAGTATATTTATCCATCCTCTAAAGTATTTATGTAATCTACAGTTTATATATCCATCCTCGAAAGTATTTATGTAATCTACAGTATATTTATCCATCCTCTGAAGTATTTATGTAGCCTACAGTATATTTATCCATCCTCTGAAGTATTTATGTAGCCTACAGTATATTTATCCATCCTCTAAAGTATTTATGTAATCTACAGTATATTTTTCCATCCTCTGAAGTATTTATGTAGCCTACAGTATATTTATCCATCCTCTAAAGTATTTATGTAATCTACAGTATATTTATCCATCCTCTAAAGTATTTATGTAATCTACAGTATATTTATCCATCCTCTAAAGTATTTTTGTAATCTACAGTATATTTATCCATCCTCTAAAGTATTTATGTAATCTACAGTATATTTATCCATCCTCTGAAGTATTTATGTAGCCTACAGTATATTTATCCATCCTCTAAAGTATTTATGTAACCTACAGTATATTTATCTCATCAGGATGAGAGAAGCTCTGTCATAATGATAAAGCAATAATAAGTACAGTGATTAATATATTTACAAATGTATTTGCAATGATGTCTGAGAATAATTTCCAAGAGAAATGTTATACTTGTTAAAGAACAGATAGGTAAAATTTGTGGCTGGGAATGGTTTAAACCAATTTTAGTCAATTCCGAAATTTGTTAGATATTCAACCTTTATAATATTCAATCTCCCCTCAGGAATAGATTAATGACGAATACTGGAGTTCCTCTGTACGACGTAACAATGTAGAGTTGTGAAGAGACCAGAAAGATAGAAAGAATAAAAGTAGGTAGAAAGGGGGGGGGGGGGGGGGGGGGGGAGAGAGAAAACATTTATGAAACCACAAAGATGTTGGAAAACACATATTAAAAAAACCAGAATATTTGAGGCACATATGAAAGAAGCCAGAAGAACTGAGGCCCATATGAAAGAAGCCAGAAGGACTGAGGCACATATGAAAGAAGCCAGAAGGATTGAGGCACATATGAAAGAAGCCAGAAAGGACTGAGGCACACATGAAAGAAGCCAGAAGGATTGTGGCACATATGAAAGAAGCCAGAAAGGACTAAGGCACATATGAAAGAAGCCAGAAGGATTGTGGCACATATGAAAGAAGCCAGAAAGGACTGAGTCACATATGAAAGAAGCCAGGCAGGACTGAGGCACACGTGAAAGAAGCCAGAAGGATTGAGGCACACATGAAAGAAGCCAGAAGGATTGAGGCACACATGAAAGAAGCCAGAAGAATTGTGGCACATATGAAAGAAGCCAGAAGGATTGTGGCACATATGAAAGAAGCCAGAAGGATTGTGGCACATATGAAAGAAGCCAGAAGGATTGTGGCACATATGAAAGAAGCCAGAAGGATTGTGGCACATATGAAAGAAGCCAGAAGGATTGTGGCACATATGAAAGAAGCCAGAAGGATTGAGGCACACGTGAAAGAAGCCAGGAGGATTGTGGCACATATGAAAGAAGCCAGAAAGGACTGAGGCACATATGAAAGAAACCAGAAGGACTAAGGCACATATGAAAGAAACCAGAAGGACTGAGGCACATATGAAAGAAACCAGAAGGACTGAGGCACATATGAAAGAAGCCAGAAGGATTGTGGCACATATGACATATGCCAGAACAATATTGGAGCAGACAAGAAAGAAGGCACACAGAAACCAGAAATGAGAAAATGTGTGCAAGAACCCATAGATGTGTGAAAATATGTGTGAATCAAGCTAAAAGGTTTTATTTTAAAATGTGCATCAAAACTACACAGAATTGATTCAGCAAGCAGACATGTTCACCCGAGAAGATCATTTGGGGCAAAGAGAGAATTATCAACAAACAAGAGTTATTAGAGACAGACATGTTGTTACGTTAGCACACATATGAAGCACAATTTTAAAAAAATATCTCCGTATCCTTTACAGGAAGTTGCAGAAACAACCCCAACAATTTTTGGCTGTTGTGGTTTTTCTAAGCAAATTTTATGTTCATTCGTTTGCCATTGCTTTCTGAAGGGTCAGTTCTACGTATTACTGTCAAAACCAATTCAAGACATTCTCATCCGCAGCTGGGATCAAACCTAGCACCTCGGCATTACAAAGTGTATTCGAAACACCTAAGCCACAAACACCACCACATGGGAAACTAGATATATTTGTGTCAATCTGAAGCAGACAGAGAAGGCAACGAGGGAAAAAAGCTTAGTGATTAGCAACTCATTCAACCTCCAAGAATAACATGATGTGTGACTGGCTGCAGCTCCCCGAACCCCACCCACTGGCTGCAGCTCCCTGAACCCCACCCACTGACTGCAGCCCCTGAACCCCACTCACAGCATCATGTGTCCTTCTTACATGTTAGATCTGGTCAATGCAGACCATGAAAATCTGGCTTTCCCAGCAGCCACTTCCACTAGTTACTTAGGTCTTCTCAGAGTCCTGTACTCTGTCTGACTTGTCACAGTGATTCCCCTCGGGTATTTGTGACAAAACTTTGCAAGGTCAACAGGGTTTGATGTCCCTGATAAAATCAATCAGTACATGACAATGACCAGTTGTTACAATGATCCTTAGAACTGACCACCATGTGATGCAGACCATAGGCCATCAGGAGTGGACCCACCCTAAGGATAAGATAAAGAAACAACAGAGATGTACCAACTGGACATACCCAGGTGTTGTATCATGTGGCAGGACCACAGACAGTACATTCCAATATGGGCACAAGCTTTAGAATCAACACAAGGAAGGAAATGGTGAAAGCAGAGTCATCATTCCAACACTAAAGCATCAGGGAAAAACACAATCAGAAAACATCATCAGGGTATAACCTGGGGAGAACGAGGTACAAAGACACTCCAATAAAAATGGCACACAATTTCTTCTCTACGGCATAAATAAATTATCTATCAAATAAAGAAACCATTTGATCAATATCTTTGATACAGCACGATCATTACATCCACAACCATCATCATTACAATCAAAGTGTGATGACATGTGTGACAATCCCTGTGGAGCATGGGCTCTCTCTGCAGGTTACTAGTGTGTGCATCTAGTAAGTTTATATAACACGGTGCCAACTGTAGCTCAGAAGCTGCTGTGGTGTAGCAGCTAGACATTGGCCTCCAGATCCAATGGTCACAGGTTCAGATCCTGAGAGACGCCCCCACAATGATCTTGTTTCTCAGGTCGATCCAGCCTAAAATGGGTACAAAGTTAAGTCCTGGGAAGTAAAGGTGGCCAGGTGACCACATCACCCTCAGAGTGCCCACTGGTCTTTAAAACATAGGTCAAGCTCTATATACCCAACAAACCTGAGGCATGGGACACAGTCCTTTATTGCTGACAACTGAAGCCCAATCTTCCAAAGATCAGTTCCGACATGAAGTCAGACGGCCAACAGACACAGACACACTCTTGTTGCACGCCCCATCAACTACAACCCATATCAACAAACATGACAATGTGTTCGTATGCAAATTCCATCAAACAAACCACAGAATAAATATCAATAAATAATTGCAAATGGAACCACTAAGATGAATTATTTGTCTAGACAAAGTCATCCAAATGACTTGACACATTACCTACAATAACCGTTCAGTCAATGATTTCATGCCAAGATGTCAATGAATGGTGAAGAACAGTGTTGTCTACATAATGTATGTAGAACTCACTCTGGCCAGATTTAGGAGTTGTGTACATGTTGACAATGTAATATAGTTGAGTGTCAGATGTGGAAATCTCACTCACTGTGTGTGTGTGTTTGTGTGTGTGTGTGAGAGAGAGAGAGAGAGAGAGAGAGAGAGAGAGAGAGAGAGAGAGAGAGAGAGAGAGAGAGAGAGAGAGAGAGAGAGAGAGAGAGAGAGAGAGAGAGAGAGAGAGAGTAAGAGGGAGAGAGAGAGAGAAATCTCACTTGGCAAAAAATTTCATAATAACAATATTTTAATAATATGGAATAAACACAACAGATATTGATCGAGGCCGTACCCTAGTGAACACAGACGAGCCGTGAAATTGTTTAGATGAGTTTGATTACAACAAGCAGAATATGTCAATTATAAATATTGAGATATATTAAATCATACAGAAACACATACAATGCCAGGCGACACCTACTATACACTGTCTTGTCAGGACAGTGCCAGTGGGGTTGCCTTTTAGATGCTGTCTTATCAGGACAGCATCAGGTATTGTCTAATACATGTCTTGTCCAGACAGTGCCTGGAGTCACACACTACACACTGTCTTGTTAGGACAGCATCAGGTGTTGTCTACATGATGTCTTGTCCGGACAGTGCTTGCTGTCACATACTATACATTGTCTTTTCAGGACAGTAAACTCTCTGTTATCTTTTTGGCATTGGGAATGACCCCTTTGATATACATTCACCAACTGTTCCCAGATGATATCTCCTCTAATAAATATGACGACTAAAAATAACCGAACCAGTATAACCATTCTTCACTGGTAAATTCAATTGTGTGTGAACTACTCAACAAGAACACATGCAGAAGCTGGTTGCAGCAATGACTGTGAAGCTTCTTGTATTTTGTGATGGCATGACAAACTGATGATAACTACTGCTCACAAATGTTAACATGGTACTATGATACTGAGTTCACATTCTGTGAATAAACAAGAGACTTCTTTTTTCTCTTTTCAAAAATAACTTTGGTGCTTTTAAATGAAGGAAAAAACACACACACAAAATCAAAGCCATTTCCATTGTAAATAAATTGGTGCTTTAAAGAAAAACAGAACTTCCATAGTTTTGGTACTTTAAAATAACAGAGCCATTTCAATTTAAAACAAAAACAAAACTTGAAGATAAAAACCTGGCTTTAACAGGATTGACAGAGAAAGCAACAAGTTCTCAACAACCAATCAAAAAGCAACAAGTCCTTGACAACCAATCAAAAAAGCAACAAGTCCTTGACAACCAATCAAACAATTCCTTCCATGAAACTGGTGTCCAGTGATTGGATGAGGGTTCTGATGAAGCCCATCTCTTTCCTGGTGTTCTCAAATATCACTCTGGGGTCATCACTTTCACAGCGCAAGCAGTTAGGGGCCATCACCATAGCCAGGTTATTCACGTCCATCTTGGTGACCACTGCATTCTCTGGGGCAGCAAACACCTGAAGGACAAAGGACACCATGGCTGGTCAAGCGAGAGATAGCACAATATACAGGCATATCAGAGAGAATAGATATCAGTACTTGTCAAGTGAAAGATAGCATAATATAAGGACATATCCAAGAGAATAGATATCAGTACTTGTCAAGTGAAAGATAGCAAAATTTAAGGACATAACAGAGAGAATAGATATCAGTACTTGTCAAGTGAAAGATAGCATAATATAAGGACATATCAGAGAGAATAAACATCGGTGCTTGTCAAGTGAAAGATAGCACAATATACAGGCATATCAGAGAGAATAGATATCAGTACTTGTCAAGCGAGAGATAGCACAATGTAAGGGCATATCAGAGATAATAAATATCGGTGCTTGTCAAGTGAAAGATAGCACAATATAAGGACATTTCAGAGAGAATAAATATCGGTGCTTGTCAAGTGAAAGATAGCACAATGTAAGGACATTTCAGAGAGAATAAATATCGGTGCTTGTCAAGTGAAAGATAGCACAATATAAGGACATTTCAGAGAGAATAAATATCGGTGCTTGTCAAGTGAAAGATAGCACAATGTAAGGACATTTCAGAGAGAATAAATATCGGTGCTTGTCAAGTGAAAGATAGCACAATATAAGGACATTTCAGAGAGAATAAATATCGGTGCTTGTCAAGTGAAAGATAGCATAATATAAGGACATATCAGAGAGAATAAATATCGGTGCTTGTCAAGTGAAAGATAGCATAATATAAGGACATTTCAGAGAGAATAAATATCGGTGCTTGTCAAGTGAAAGATAGCATAATATAAGGACATTTCAGAGAGAATAAATATCGGTGCTTGTCAAGTGAAAGATAGCACAATATAAGGACATTTCAGAGAGAATAAATATCGGTGCTTGTCAAGTGAAAGATAGCATAATATAAGGACATTTCAGAGAGAATAAATATCGGTGCTTGTCAAGTGAAAGATAGCACAATGTAAGGACATTTCAGAGAGAATAAATATCGGTGCTTGTCAAGTGAAAGATAGCACAATGTAAGGACATTTCAGAGAATAAATTTCGGCTCATCAATTAAAATATAGCACAATTAATATATAAGTTACTTAAAGAGTTTATGAAGGTGAGAATAAGAAAGGACTTTTGTTTCACTGTTTAGTGGACTTCTATTCTGCAGATTTGGCAGATTTTTTTTTTTTAGCTTGAATTTTGTTCTGCATATCTTCTGGTAGATTTTTGTTCTATGGATTTGTTGACTTATATTCTGTGGATCTGTTTTGTAGACTTCTGCTCTACAGATCTCCTGCACAGACTTTTGCTCCACTATAGGGACCTGCTGGGTGGACTTTTGTTCCACTAGTGGGTTTTGTTGGGGTGACTTTTCTTTTCTTAAATTATTGGGATCTGTTAGGCGGACTTTTCTTTTGTTCCACTATTGGGATCTGTTGGGTAGAACTATTGGGATCTGTTGGGTAGACTTTTCTTTTGTTCCACTATTGGGATCTGTTGGATAGAACTATTGGGATCTGTTGGGTAGACTTTTCTTTTGTTCCACTATTGGGATCTGTTGGGTAGAACTATTGGGATCTGTTGGGTAGACTTTTCTTTTGTTCCACTATTGGGATCTGTTGGGTAGAACTATTGGGATCTGTTGGGTAGACTTTTCTTTTGTTCCACTATTGGGATCTGTTGGGTAGAACTATTGGGATCTGTTGGGCGGACTTTTCTTTTGTTCCACTATTGGGATCTGTTGGGTAGACTTTTCTTTTGTTCCACTATTGGGATCTGTTGGGTAGAACTATTGGGATCTGTTGGGTAGACTTTTCTTTTGTTCCACTATTGGGATCTGTTGGGTAGAACTATTGGGATCTGTTGGGTAGACTTTTCTTTTGTTCCACTACTGGGATCTGTTGGGTAGACTTTTCTTTTGTTCCACTATTGGGATCTGTTGGGTAGAACTATTGGGATCTGTTGGGTAGACTTTTCTTTTGTTCCACTATTGGGATCTGTTGGGTAGAACTATTGGGATCTGTTGGGTAGACTTTTCTTTTGTTCCACTATTGGGATCTGTTGGGTAGAACTATTGGGATCTGTTAGGCGGACTTTTCTTTTGTTCCACTACTGGGATCTGGTGAGTGCACCTATCTTTTGCTCCATTATTGGGATCTGTTGGGTAGAACTATTGGGATCTGTTGGGTAGACTTTTCTTTTGTTCCACTACTGGGATCTGTTGGGTAGACTTTTCTTTTGTTCCACTATTGGGATCTGTTGGGTAGAACTATTGGGATCTGTTGGGTAGACTTTTCTTTTGTTCCACTATTGGGATCTGTTGGGTAGAACTATTGGGATCTGTTGGGTAGACTTTTCTTTTGTTCCACTATTGGGATCTGTTGGGTAGAACTATTGGGATCTGTTAGGCGGACTTTTCTTTTGTTCCACTACTGGGATCTGGTGAGTGCACTTATCTTTTGCTCCATTATTGGGATCTGTTGGGTAGACTTTTCTTTTGTTCCACTATTGGGATCTGTTGGGTAGAACTATTGGGATCTGTTGGGTAGACTTTTCTTTTGTTCCACTATTGGGATCTGTTGGGTAGAACTATTGGGATCTGTTGGGTAGACTTTTCTTTTGTTCCACTATTGGGATCTGTTGGGTAGAACTATTGGGATCTGTTGGGCGGACTTTTCTTTTGTTCCACTATTGGGATCTGTTGGGTAGACTTTTCTTTTGTTCCACTATTGGGATCTGTTGGGTAGAACTATTGGGATCTGTTGGGTAGACTTTTCTTTTGTTCCACTATTGGGATCTGTTGGGTAGAACTATTGGGATCTGTTGGGTAGACTTTTCTTTTGTTCCACTATTGGGATCTGTTGGGTAGAACTATTGGGATCTGTTGGGTAGACTTTTCTTTTGTTCCACTATTGGGATCTGTTGAGTAGAACTATTGGGATCTGTTGGGTAGACTTTTCTTTTGTTCCACTATTGGGATCTGTTGGGTAGAACTATTGGGATCTGTTAGGCGGACTTTTCTTTTGTTCCACTACTGGGATCTGGTGAGTGCACTTATCTTTTGCTCCATTATTGGGATCTGCTGTGTGAACTCTTTATTTGTTCCATTATTGGGATCTGCTGTGTGAACTCTTTATTTGTTCCATTATTGGGATCTGCTGTGTGAACTCTTTATTTGTTCCATTATTGGGATCTGCTGTGTGAACTCTTTATTTGTTCCATTATTGGGATCTGCTGTGTGAACTATAGTTCCACTGATTGGTTTGGTTCCAGTGTTGGTATAATGAACTTGGGTGACTTTTGTTATAGGCCACCCGGTGTGGGTTTGGCAGCCCACATTTGAGGGGTTACCAAGCATGTCATAAAAAATGACTAACTGGGGGTTTGCTGAAACTGGATGCATTAGGCTAAATACACATACATCACTGCCTAGCTGTAAACCACAACACAAAATATCACTTGCCCATTTATGCACACAGATAAAAAAAGGGGAAAGGGGGGGGGGGGGGGGGGGTTATTCTCTGGCGTTAACTCCCCACAGCTGAAATAACTAGGTTTAAACCCATCACTAAGCCAACAATAGGTTTAACCTCAACACTATAACCAACAATAGGTTTAACCTCAACACTATAACCAACAATAGGTTTAACCTCAACATTATAACCAATATTAGGTGTAAACTCAACACTATAACCAACAATAGGTTTAACCTCAACACTATAACCAACAATAGGTTTAACCTCAACATTATAACCAATATTAGGTGTAAACTCAACACTATAACCAACAATAGGTTTAACCTCAACACTATAACCTAAAATAATTTTAACTTTAACACTATAACCAACAATAGGTGTAACTATAACCAACAATAGTTTAACGTGAACACTATAACCAACCATAGGTTTAACCTCAATACTATAACCTACAGGTCAGTTCTACCGAAGCATCAAGGCTATGAGACTGAGAGAAGAGAAATTGAACTTATCAAAGATCATAAACAGCAAGGCTAAAAAACCACTCACCAAATTCCAAGATGTTAAAAGAAGATGGCAAGAATATTTTTCTGAATTACTGAATAGTGGACCACAAGAACCAGTGTCTAATAAAATAAAAGTTGGACAAGAACAAGAACCTAATATATTAGAATCTGAAGTTGAAAAGATCCTAGAGCAAAGCTAAAGAAACACAGCGGCCAGAACAGATGGTATTACAACAGACATATTACTTGCATGTAAGGCAACAGCAGTAAAATGGCTGACAAGAATATTCAATATGGCCTGGGAGGAAATGAAAGTTCCCGTTGACTGGCAGAGAGCAATTATAGTTCCTATATGGAAGAAGAAAGGTGATAAACGAGATTGTGAAACATACAGAGGTATCTCCTTACAAAGCCATGTAGGAAAGATCTTTGCAAAAATATTAGAACGAAGAGCGAGGGTGATATTAGAACCTCAATTAAGTAACAATCAGTTTGGATTTAGAAAAGGAAAGAGCTGCACTGATGCAATATTTACTCTTCGGCAAATTTGTGAACAGACAATCGAATATAATAAACACCAGAATCTTATATTCATTGATCAAGAGAAGGCTTTTGACAGGGTTAACAGAAATAAACTATGGAACATTTTTGAAGAATATGGTGTACCGGGTCAATTATTGGGAAACATAATGGCTCTCTATCAAAATAGCCAGAGCGCTGTAAGAACAACGGAAGGTATGACAGACTGGTTCCCCATTACATCAGGAGTACGACAAGGATATGTCCTATCACCCCTACTCTTCATCACATATATGGATAAAATTGCACAGGAGTCAAACCAAAACACAGATATTATAAATGAACTACTCTTTGCAGATGACCAATGTTTGTTACAAGAAGAAGAACAAAAACTACAACAACATGTTGATTCATTGCTGAGTAACTGTACAAAATTTGACATGAAAATAAACACCTCAAAAACTGAGGTAATAACCATAGGAAAGAAACACAGTAATATAAACATAAAGATCAATGACATACAATTATAACAAGTTCAAGAATTCAAGTACTTAGGATGCATATTCACAGAAGATGGAAGACTCGATAAAGAGATACAGGCTAGAGTTCAAAAAGCCAATGCAATCAACTACCAACTGGCCCCACTTCTTCGTCATCCAAAGATTTCGTTACCAGCCAAACAACGGATGATCAACAGCATTTTCTTCCCTACGTTATGTTATCAGTGCCAAACGTGGACAATGAACAAATCACATATGCAAAAAATAACTACGTGTGAAATGCGATGTCTCCGAAGAGTCACCAACAATACACGAAGAGACAGAGTCACAAACGTCAGCATTAGAGACAAAGTTGGAACAAGAGCATGCATGAAACATATTGAAAGACAGAGAATGAAGTGGTTTGGCCACTTAGTAAGAATGCAACCGGATCAGATTGCCTATAAGGCCTTTTACAGTAGAACATCGGGAAGAAAGGTCAGAGGAAGACCCAGGAAAAAATGGATAGATGGAGTCACTCAGATCACGCGAGAGGCACAAAACAAATATTTTAAACCACGACACTCGGCTGCAACCCGGTAAAAGTGAAGAAGACAATAGACTATAACCTACAATAGGTGTAAACTTGACACTATAACCAACATTAGGTGTAAACTTGACACTATAGCCAACATTAGGTGTAAACTCAAAATTATAACCAACAATAGGTTTAACCTCAACACTATAACCTACAATAGGTGTAATCAACACTATAACTAACAATAGGTTTAACCTCAACACTATAACCTACAATAGGTGTAATCAACACTATAACTAACAATAGATGTAAACAACACTGCAGCGAACAAAGCTTTCTGTTAACCATAATAACCAGCTGACCCACCTGCAAGAAACGAATAAGATAGCACAGAACCAGGCGGTTAATGTCCGGCAACTGGTTGACAATAGAAATGGCAGCATCAGCATTGGCATAGTTCTCTATGCAAGCCTCGTAGAACTGAGCCGGGATGAGCGGCTCGTAGAGCTCCCTGTACCACAGCTTCAGCAGGGAGGCAGGGATGTGAGGGTCCGGGCAGTCGGAGGGCAGGATCCACTGGTCACATCGCAGCTTCAAGTTGTTGACCTCATCAATGTCACCTGGGACTCTGTTGACAGACACAAACCCAAATAATGTCACTGCCAAATGATAATGCATACAGAAAGGTTAGCAGTTATTCTGTCAGAGTATACAATCACTGCTACCCGTGCTGTCCTCTTTTTTTCCCCCTTGATTTTTTTATGTCAGTATCATCCTGTCAAGCAGAATGATTTTTACAGAACGTTGCTAAATTCACAGCTAACCTGAAAATCTTTTGTTTGTTTGTTGTTGTTGTTGTCTAGTCAATTCTCCAGCTCTGTGTTCTTTCATAGCCAATTAATCTTCAATGTCCGGTAGCCACCGATGTGGAGGCCAGCCCTGCCTCCTGTCCTGGTCAGTATAAGTTCTGGCTTTCATTCCAAATAAGTCGACTTTGCCATTACTTTCAGCCACTATAATCAGACTAGGACCACCACCAGCGTCATCATCCTGTTGTGCTGTTTATCTATCACACAAAACTCATCATCCTGTTGTGCTGTTTATCTATCACACAAAACTCATCATCCTGTTGTGCTGTTTATCTATCACACAAAACTCATCATCCTGTTGTGCTGTTTATCTATCACACAAAACTCATCATCCTGTTGTGCTGTTTATCTATCACACAAAACTCATCATCCTGTTGTGCTGTTTATCTATCACACAAAACTCATCATCCTGTTGTGCTGTTTATCTATCACACAAAACTCATCATCCTGTTGTGCTGTTTATCTATCACACAAAACTCAGTCTATTCCGCCATTTGGTTCTATCCTGTATAGTCTCTATGGCCTATGACAAGGTCCATCAAAGTTCACAAACCAGGGAAAACTACAGTAATTCAGGTTATACGCAGTCTATAAATAAAAATCTGGTTAAATGGCAAGTCAATAACCAAGGAGAGAACTCATGGCAAAGATATCGCAGAGTAACAAAAACAAGGACAAGGAAGAAATACTATATGGCAGCGGATTTTCAACAATGACAACCGACAATTCAGTTTAAAAACAAAACCACAAAACACATATAAAGTGACATAGGAGGCCTGAAGGACAGCCCAAGGTCAAGGTTACCTGAATATGCCCTCAGTCTGGGTGCCGTTGAGCCTCAGAACCTCCTCAGACAGCACAATCTGTATCCATGGTAACTGTCGTTCTGGGTGACGATCTTTCTGCAGCAACATGACATCCTCCAGCATGCTCCCAAACATTGACGGACAGAATATGGCTTTCTGTGTGGAGATAACAATATAGACATAAACACAATGTAGACAGAATATGGTTTTCTGTGTGGAGATACAAATATAGACATAAACACAATGTAGACAGAATATGGTTTTCTGTGTGGAGATACAAATATAGACATAAACACAATGTAGACAGAATATGGTTTTCTGTGTGGAGATACAAATATCGACATAAACACAATGTAGACAGAATATGGTTTTTCTGTGTGGAGATACAAATATCGACATAAACACAATGTAGACAGAATATGGTTTTTCTGTGTGGAGATACAAATATCGACATAAACACAATGTAGACAGAATATGGTTTTCTGTGTGGAGATACAAATATCGACATAAACACAATGTAGACAGAATATGGTTTTCTGTGTGGAGATACAAATATCGACATAAACACAATGTAGACAGAATATGGTTTTCTGTGTGGAGATACAAATATCGACATAAACACAATGTAGACAGAATATGGTTTTCTGTGTGGAGATACAAATATCGACATAAACACAATGTAGACAGAATATATGGCTTCTGTGTAGAGATACAAATATAGACATAAACACAATGTAGACAGAATATGGTTTTCTGTGTGGAGATACAAATATAGACATAAACACAATGTAGACAGAATATGGTCTTCTGTGTGGAGATACAAATATAGACATAAACACAATGTAGACAGAATATGGTCTTCTGTGTGGAGATACAAATATAGACATAAACACAATGTAGACAGAATATGGTCTTCTGTGTGGAGATACAAATATAGACATAAACACAATGTAGACAGAATATGGTCTTCTGTGTGGAGATACAAATATAGACATAAACACAATGTAGACAGAATATGGCTTTCTGTGTGGAGATAACAATATAGACATAAACACAAAGTAGACAGAATATGGTTTTCTGTGTGGAGATAACAATATAGACATAAACACAATGTAGACAGAATATGGTTTTCTGTGTGGAGATACAAATATCGACATAAACACAATGTAGACAGAATATGGCTTCTGTGTAGAGATACAAATATAGACATAAACACAATGTAGACAGAATATGGTCTTCTGTGTGGAGATACAAATATAGACATAAACACAATGTAGACAGAATATGGCTTTCTGTGTGCAGATACAAATATAGACTTAAACACAGTGTAGACAGAATATGGTTTTCTGAGACACAGTGTAAATAGAAAAACAGATCTGAGTTGAAGAAACAACACAACGTGCCTGGTAGAAAGACATAAAGGATTTGACAAAGACACAAAGACCCTAATCACATCTAGCTTGTCATGCATCAATTCACCACCAAGTGGTGCAGAACCGGCCAGTCTATCTGCCTGCTCATACCCAACACACCGGCATCACCTGGAGAAAATACCCAAAGGACGCTACTACCCAGGACCTCTGAAGTGATGCTTACCACTCTGCACGGAGCATGCCTGTTCCCCCCCTTTCTCAGCATGCTCTGTGAGTCACTTACAATCATGGCATGTGTGTACAGCTGATTCTCAAGCCAGCGAAAGGCAGCAGAGACTGCCTCCACATCTATTCTAAAACTAGACGTTGTGATATCATATGGCAGGCTTTGCTGCACTAAACGACGGCCATTCACTTTTGCTATGAACTTCACCTGCCCCTCAACACAGAGCCATCTGTACAGATAATCACACTACCTGGGGGGGGGGGGGGGGGGGGGGGGGGGGGGGGGGGGGGGGGAGTTGTCCTGAATCATTTGTTGAACCTTTGATTCTGCAGCGCCAGCTAGCCAGTCTCTGCAATCACAACCTCAAGTGATGAGAACCCTACACAAAGTCTGAAACTTGCTCTGGCACTTTGACCCACTCCTTTCCTCATCCAAATGGATCAAGCCTGCACACAAGTCTAATTGTGTCTTCAGCTTGCACTATCCAAGACCCTCCTCTTTTGAGTTTGTGACCCTTAGCTTTACTCAGGGCTAAAAGTAAAACAGGTACAGTTGGAAGATGTGAACTAGTGTCACTGCACACGGTAATAAACCATAAGTGTTCTGCCACCAGTTCGAACCGCTGATAAGAAACTGTCCGCCTGTGTTGCCGTCTGCACGCAACTAGGTAGCTCCAGTGACATTCCTCCATTTACCCCAGAGTGTTAACTCTAGTACCCATTTCCTAGAACCTGGGTGAACCCCGGGAACTGCCTGGTTTCGAACACCAGCCGTGTACTGCAGCAAGTCGCAGCTGGAATTGAAAGCGAGTCTCCAATCTACTGCGCTAATGCGGCTCCCTAAGGGCTTCATGCAGAAAGTGCTTCTTGTCTGCAGCTACTCTGAGACAGGACTTTGCTTGCAGAACTTTAAGTCTATCTGTAATAGTAGGCAGTGCAAGTATATATCGCATACATTGTACCAGGGTATCTCTTGTACATCCCAGAATTACCCGCATGGCTCCATTCTGTTTGCGTCCAAATTTCATCAGCTGACTCTCTGATATGGTCAGCATGAAAGTCCACAAACTATCACCGACAGGATCACATGCTGGGACACTGTGAACAGAATTCTTTGTTCCATGTCCACTGCTAGCATAATTTTAAAAGCCTAGAGTCTTTTTTTGCACTTTACCACAAATACCTTCTCATGATCCCTTAAAGGACAGGCTTCCATCGAAAATAAAAGCCAGGTACCTCAGTTTGCTTTCTCTTTTGATGTTACTGTTATTAACTGTGAGGCTTGGACCATCAGCTCTTACAATTTTAGTGTCCAGAGAGCACCACAAAACAGCGGCCTTTTTCTGAGTCGATGACAGCACCCATTTCTGCACACGTCAGTCACTTTGTCTGCAGTTGCTTGTAGCTCCACAGTTATCTGTCGCCTATCTCTCCCATGCCTCTATGCAAAAACATCATCTGCAAAAGTTAATACCCTTGCAACACCTGATGCTTCAAGTTCTGCAATTGTGCTTGTACACACATTAAAGAGCACTGGTAATTTTGCAGAACCCTGGGTTAGTCCCGTGGCTATTACATGGTTCTGAGTTCCATGTACCCAGGTAAAGGGCAACCATACGTGATTGCAGGACATCTGCTATCCAATGCACAAGCCAGGGACAAACCCCCTTTTTCATGAGCGCAGATATCAAAATTTGACATTGTTTTATATGTTGCTGATTTATTACACCACCATATAAACTCTATTATTTTAACCTGTCTATTACATAAATCTATTATTTACCTGATCTGCTGCTTTAATACATAAATCTATATTACTCAGATTTATCTACTATTCTGACCTGTCTATCATTTCTTGTCTTTAACACAAACATAAAGATAAGTATCAGAGTCTGTATACCTGGTTAAATAAATGGCAACAGGATGCTAGATTCAAAAATTCAAAGAGACAAGTGGAAGCTGTCTCACAATACCTTAGCCTGTTCAACCTCTTCCAGCGTGGGTTTGCGTACCCCCTTCTTGGCTCCAGTCTGCAGGGCTCTCTCTAACCGCTGGTTGCAATGTGCTGCAAAATGTGAAACTGGCACCTAACAACAGAGAATTCAGAGCCAGTTAATGGAGGAAAGCAGACACACAGCACATGAATACAGACACACAGCACATGAATACAGACACACAGCACATGAATACAGACACACAGCACATGAAAGCAGACACACAGCACATGAAAGCAGACACACAGCACATGAAAGCAGACACACAGCACATGAAAGCAGACACACAGAACATGAAAGCAGACACACAGCACATGAAAGCAGACACACAGCACATGAATACAGACACACAGCACATGAATACAGACACACAGCACATGAAAGCAGACACACAGCACATGAATACAGACACACAGCACATGAAAGCAGACACACAGCACATGAATACAGACACACAGCACATGAAAGCAGACACACAGCACATGAATACAGACACACAGAACATGAAAGCAGAAAACATTAAAATAAGCAGAAAAACTACATGACTAGAAGCAAATCATGAAAATGCACACTGTCCATGAAAACAAATATATGAAAAACAAAAATATGACAACATATGAAACAAACCTGTGTGGGTCTATGTAATAACATATCAGGACTGTCAAACCTGTGTGGGTCTATGTAATAACATATCAGGACTGTCAAACCTGTGTGGGTCTATGTAATAACATATCAGGACTGTCAAACCTGTGTGCGTCTATGTAATAACATATCAGGACTGTCAAACCTGTGTGGGTCTATGTAATAACATATCAGGACTGTCAAACCTGTGTGCGTCTATGTAATAACATATCAGGACTGTCAAACCTGTGTGGGTCTATGTAATAACATATCAGGACTGTCAAACCTGTGTGGGTCTATGGAATAACATATCAGGACTGTC